TGTACGTGCAAGTATCCCTGACCTCGGCTATAAAATATATTTACAAATTATACTTCAGTTTATAAAATATATAAAAAAATAAAATCATATGTTCATATATGATTTCTCCACCAATTTTTAAATGAAATATTGAAAGTAAAATCACATTGGATTATTATTTCTTCCTTTTGAAGTTATGTTCTCAAGCCTTTAACTTATTTATCTGTATTATCTTTTAAAAATTTATCCATTTCGATAACCTTAAAATAAAATTGTACTATCTATGAGAAAAAAACCATTTTAGATATTTTTTTAGATAAAAATACTAAAAGGTAAAGATTATATTGTTGCTATAGAAATATTTCAGAAAAATAAACTAAAATGAATTTGTAAAATTATACCTGGAAGAAGACGAGAATGAATAATGCTGGCAGAGCAATCTCAGGACAATGTAGTATCTACAAGAATCAAAGGACAACCAGCGATTATGTTCGTTCAACAACTAATTATGCGCATAAGAAAAGAGCAATACTGTTGGAAATATTGATAAGGAGAGTCCAAGGCCAGTGAGACTGACAAGAGGAACCACACTAAGCGGGCTCAGACACCTGCAACATCGGTACTAAATATTAGTGATTCTTCTATTCCAAAATATAAAGATTTAATGAAAGACGCAAATTACACTGAAGAAAATATTAAAATAGATTCTAAACTCGAAACATGTATATTACCTGGCGAAAATCCTCCAAAATCCTAAAAACCCAACACTCATTTGAAAACACGATGCAACAATAAGTGCCCCTTGAATGGCTCTCATCGAATGCATAAACCTCTAAAAAGATCCAACCAAGAAAATGAAACATAATATATAACCATTAACCATTTCACCAATTCACCAAATAGTGATTAGATAGGGCTACAATACAACAGTGCAGACACACTGATTAACCTGATGCGGATCTTCAAACACCCTCATCCTCTTGGAAACAGCAATGGACACAGCAGGAACTAGGAAAGTGTAGGATGTTCCAATGACAACAGGAAGACGTGTTCCAAACAACGTTTGCAGCAGTGTGTTAATCGCCGCAACGAAAAGTAGAGTCTCTATCATTTCAGCCTTCTCCTCCTGTTTTATTTCAAAACAAGAAGAAATTCGAGCGAAACAGAAAGATTGCTAAAGAAACACATGTATCATGTATAAATAAAAATGGCATTAGGAAAACTTCAGAAAGCTTTATTACATTGCCACCATCCATCAAAGGGACAAGGATGCGGGAAGCCATGGCAATGGTCCCAACCTCAACCACACAATGCAGAAACCCAAGAAAAATCCCTTCAGCTGCAACCAAACCAAAGCAATAAAGAAATGTATGACTGTGAAGTGTTAATAATTAAGTTTAAGCAGAAAAGAAAGTATGGCAGTAGCATATACGCCATGAGGGAAATCTTGCAACACAGTAAGCAACACCGATAGTTTCGTCCATGTCTTCTTCTTCCATTGCTTGTCTCTCGTTTTCTTGTTTGTTATTGTTCATTCTGTCTCTGATTAGAAACACGATGAGAGTGCTCCAAATGCCTTTTACGGTTATGGCCTATGGCCTACTCTAGCATTGCGATTTGCAGGTGTGAAGAGAATGCACCCTTTGCTTATATATAACAAAAGTGTCTTTACATGTTCCAAATTTGTTCTTTGGTTCTTGCCTTAAAATGTGCGTGTTTCAGAAGCTGAGACACGGACACAAAAACTGTTAGACAAAACTTCACTGAAATTCATTATACGTAAAGTTATTGTTTTTTCATCGTATTTATGTCGGACTCGACATCCTATGAATTATGTGATTATTAACATTAGTAATTTTGAATCTTTGTTGCAAAATTTATGAAAGTTCTTCATGATAAGTCATTAATAATATTTGTAATATTGAATCTTTATAAAATGATATTTAGTCTGGCTTCTGTATAGATATATTTTCGTTATATTTTTTGGAAAATTTATCTTATTTTATAAAATTATATACATTATATGAACTTTAAATTTTTAATTGCGCCAAGCTTTCCACCTTGCCCCATTCTGTATAATAAAGTTATACCATAATGAGGCATGTATCACCAAAATAAACTAACTTGTTCAAACATAAATGCATTATGTTGTGAAGGATAAATTTATGGTTGATTCTAGTAAATTTTTGTTCGTGTGTACTAGCAATTATGTTATTAAAAATGAAATGCTGCACTGTTTTTTTTGTAATAATGATAAATAATAATAAAATATATTAATAGCAATAACTAAAATAACTTTTCACTTATTTTTTTAATTAAATAAAAAAATTTCACTTGTTTCTTTTTTGTCTTTTCTTTTCTCCTCTGATATTTTATTTTATTTTATAGCACGCATTTATAACCAAACAAGGGAAAAACGAGAGGAGTAAATGCTTTTGGTTATGCTTTCTTCGGTATTTATGTACAGGGTTTGTTAACACAGTAAGTTCCTTATTCAGTTATTACATTTGCTAGTGTAATGACTTTTTAGTAAATAAGAATATCTTCGTATATCATGCTTTCTAAATTTTAAGATCAAGATTATTTGAATAATTTACATTCTCAAGACTAAACCCCTAAACCCTTATTCACTCATTCATCTAAACTCTTTCTCTTTTATCTCTCTCCCTTTAACTTTCTTTCTATCGTCTCTACAGTAGATCCAACTTAAACAATCAGAAACATTCACTTAACCCTAATCTGTCTTCCTCGCTTATTTAATTTGTTACTCTCTCATCTCCATCCTCTCTCTCATCCACATAGTAACCTTCTACAATGCAATTTGTTGTTCTTATTTTGTTCGTTTGTAACACTCCAAATTTTGGGATGCCATAGATTTACAAAAACTTTTTAAAACTTAACTATGATACCATTGTTGCGAGATACATTTTAAATAAAAACTTCCATTTATAATAATAACAATAATTGATGATGTTGATTTTTTATTAGAGGGTTGTGTTATATCTTTTTCCTTCGGATTATTCTTAAATTTCGTTTTTAAATTTTAGAATTAGTAGTTTATCTCCAGGGAGATTTGATATTTTGACTATTAAGTTGTCAAAAAATATTTTCCAAAAGAGAAAAAACCGTTATGTGGAAAGGGGATTCCGGAAGGGTAAATCATTGTCCAGAAAATTGATTTCTGAAGTCAGCTCTTAAAAATAATTCTAAAAACATATTTTTCGTTGAAAACAATATTTCAGAATATATTCTTCACCTTTTGCATATAACCAACCTCAAAACACGCAAAAAATGAAGCTCTTGCACATCGTACTAAATGATATAACCGGAACAAATTATTGAAGAGAATTATGAACAGAGAAAATTGTTACTATTGGCTTCGTCCCCTTATTCAGAAAAGAGATCACTCTTCGTTAATTGCAGAATATTTAATAGTTTCCAAGAAGAACTGCATTGATATATCAATTAATTAAAAATCAACCAGAAATTAGTAAACTAGTCATAATCAACCTGTTAGCTCTAAGTTGGACTAGAAAATTATTTTCCAAAGTAAATCAGATTATGTAAGTTTATTTTAAACAATTCACATTTCTAGTTTGTTTGGTCAATATAAACATGATATTGTCATTCTAAGTTATCATTTGTCACATAAGTGAAATTAAAGAAAAACAAGCATTGAATTTTAAATTGTAACTTAACCTCGATAAGATTTTATAAAAAAATATAAACATGACGTTGTCATTCTGATTTATCATTTACCGTATGGTGAAATTAAGAAAAACAAAATACACTAAATTTCAAATTGGAATTTAAACTTAATAAATTTGTTACTGTCACATTCATAGTTTAACTTCTACTCCTTTCATTTGTATGATTTTATCAAAGTTATAAACATGATGTTGTCATTCTGATTTATCATTTGTCGCAAAGTGAAATTAAGAAAAATAAAACACACTGAATTTCAAATTGGAATTTAAACATAATAAATTATTTACCATCAGGCTCATAGTTTAACTTCTCCTCCTTTCATTTCTATGATTTTATCAAAATTGGTATTAAGAAAGTAAATGTTCTGCAACTATTATGGGTTGATGCTAACGTCTTTTCGTGAGACTTTTTTAGTTTTGAAATTATTGTAGACTTTAGTTTTTTACAAATTTGATAATAATCAGAATGGAAAAGATATAACACAGTCCTCCAATAAAAAATTAACATCAACATCAATTATTTTGTTATTAAAATGAAAAATAAATGAACAAATAGAGTAAGAACAACAAATTGTGGTGTCGCAGTATGTGAATGTGAGAGAGGATGGAGATGAGAGAGAAACAAATTGGATAAGTGAAGAAGGTAGATTAGGGTTAGATGAATGTTTTTGATTTTTTTCAGTTGGGACTTGTGTAAGGATGACAAAGAGAATGTTGAAATGAGAAAGATGAAAGAGAAAGAGTTGAGAGGAACTATGGATGAAAGAGAGGTGATTAAAAGTTTAGGGTTTCTTGTTTTTTTATACTAAAACCCCTTATTGCTATAATATATCAACTAAGATAAGAGCATATGTATGTTAACATACCCCTTTATTTATTGTTTACTGTGATATATGCATTTTTTAATATAGGTAGAAATTGAGAAAAGAAAAAGTTGCTTGAGCTTTTTAATTTTCATTGTATGATTTTAATCTCTCGAGTTCTTTTATAGATTTTTTTGTTTTTTTATCAGCTTAACTGTCAGAACATATTTCTTTTAACTTCATAACTTTCTTTCTGCTTTCCATACTTTTTTATATATAATGTGAAAGTCATTTTCAGTTTCTAAATTATATAATACGGAATTTAACAAACTAACTTTCCAATTACATAATTATTTTCGATTTCTGAATTATATAATTTAAAAGTTAAAGACTTTCAAATTATACAATTAAAGAAGTAAAAAAAACTATAAATATATGGAAATAAACTGCCATTGGCTGCGGTATGGGCCCAACTACTTTTAGGCATTCAGAGTGGACTACTACAGGCCCAATTGAAATAGTTCTAAATAAGTAAGTATTGATATAAATTGCAACTTATACATACATATATATTTTGTATATATATTACACACTTAGAGACACCAAATTCTAAAAGGAAGATAGATTTTCTCTTGATCATTTTAAAATGGAAGTGCACTCAAAATGATGGAAAGTATCTGTTGAGGTTGAAAGGAAGTGAATAGAATTCTTCGCTTCGAGTATCGTGATTGAAATTCCTGAATTTTTCCCACCAGTGTCTCCCACTGTCTCTGCGAGTTAAGCTATCTCCGCGATTCAGAGTTAAATCCAAGAAGTAAGCAACAACGATTGCTACAGTTGCTGGGGATGAGAAAATCACTTGCACTATATCGTTGAACTGCAAAAGGAGTTAATTTGAACCGTAAGAATAAACAATGGTGATAGTAAAATAAGAAGAATGAAGGAAACTTCTTTTAAGTTAAGTATGCAAACCGCAGTGGAGCCAGTATGAACAGGGCCATGTCCAGATATCAACAGATATTCGTTGAAATACTGTTGAACAGATAAGCCAAGGAAGAGAGATAGTCCAAGGATGAACAATGACCTATAGCTGTTTAGGTTGCAAAATTGAAGAAAACCAAGCCCAGCTGAGGCTGCTCATCATAAAGTGATTCAACTAAATCAGAAATAATTCAGAAATAAAGCATCAAGTTACCAAATGGAAATACATTTCACATGAGAATTGACAAGTTTCATGGCAATCACTAGTTTATTTTTGTTGTTTAGGCCATTAACTTGTTTGTTCTGACATAAAAGCATATACACAAAAAGATGGTAGAGCTATTTTCCCCAATTCATGTTGCATTATTTTCAATGCATCGGCCCAAGCAAGACATAAATCAGTAAATCACACACTTACCTACGTAGGCAAAGAGAACGCAGTAAATAGCTGCTATAATTGACAGAGGTATTGAAGCAAGAACTGCTCCAAATTTTCCTGGAACAGAAGCACAAACCCGAACGCTTAAGTGAAAAATCACTAGAACAGAATAACACATGTAAAGCTAGATCAGTTTGATTATTTCATAGTGGTTGGTAGGACTGTTTAAATGAGGTAGATTGGAGTTGAATGTATGAAATATATACTATCGCATTCCGTCAAATACCTATCATAATGTTATGATATCGAATTCATTTTATTCCACCTTTTGTGGATACGGAAAATAGAGCCTTACACCAAATCAAGTGTCTACGAAATTGAAGAAATTGTTTCAACACCTAATATAGAGAAGAAAAACATGAATCCAGCTGATATTTGAATGACTCTGCGGCTTCCTACTCGTGTTAAACCCAGGAGTCCTGCATTTTCACTTCATGTCAAGAAAAGACAATTAGACAATGCCTTTAGTACAAAAGCAAAAGAAAGTCATCAAGGTTCATACATTTTTGTATGAAAGCAATCAGGAAACATCATTTTCAGACAGAAATGTTACTAGCTAGCCACATGTCAAGCCAAAACCCATCAAAACCTCTAGGTAGTCTAAATCGGTGGCTTCTTGATAAACCTCCAACAATGGTATTAACATTGATTGATTGATTGATTGAATATTAGCAACTCATCTTCTGTTACGCATAGAGGCAGAACAACTTAGATCCATGGTTTAAGAATACAGCTAGTCAGATTATATTTTAAGGCAATAAAACATACACTGATGCAGTGGATCCAGTTCCTGTGCCAAAAAGGCCATCCAAAAGAGTGCCAATGCCCTGAAATCGACAAACATTAACATATGAGTCTAAATTTTGAAAGTAATTGCAAGAACAAATGTAATGTCAAAGAATCACATAGCACCAGCCAGCCAACACCACGACTAAGCACAGAAGGTGGAACAGGGGTTGCACTGCCAAATCTTGATGCTGCTATGAATGTCCCTGTTGACTGTCCGCAGAGAATGAAAAGGGAAAATTACAGAAAAGGACATCCAAATGAAAATAAAATCAAACATCTACCTTTTAATTAGAAATTGTCAATTCAAGAAGATATCATGAAAAGGACCCAAGGGAAGTTCACAGAAATTTTGTAATCCAATGAATAGAGTCAACAAAGTCATACTGATCTTGGAACGCATTTATTAAAAATTATAACAATCATCTGCAAAAGATTGTGGACACATTAAAAGAAACAAAAGCAAACCTCTACAATTGCAACAAGAGAAGCAGCAATCACAGCAAAAGCATCACCAGCATTGAAAGAAGGGCGTCCCCATTGAAATGGATATGGAACTCTTATCCTACATAAATGAAGAGAAATTTAATTGAAGGGCGTGTCATTAAATCATCATCCATATGAACGAATTTACAATTACCAAATGATCAAGTTTGAATTTGGGTATTTTATGAAGAGGTGTTCTAAACACATTCATGTCCTTGCACATAGTTGCAAACACTACTTTGATGGTTTAAAGCCTTTCATATCATCATCTATTATAGAATATAATAGATAGTTCTGAAAGCATGGCTCTTATAATACAAGCAACTTATTAGGACTAACCAAGGAGCAGCACTAATTAACCCAGATCGATCAGTACGGCAACTTAATTGGGTTCTAGGCGATCTTTTATTGTAGGCACCAGCTGCAGTCAAAATTTCAGCAAATGCCCAAGCAATTCCAATTGAGACCATAACTGCAAATCTATCAGCTCCTCTTGATTTCATCCTTTGCGGAATGTACTGCAAGGTCATTGATTTAACATAAGTAGAAATATCAATTCAAAGTGTTGATTTGTCTTGATATATAATGTACACAGATAACAACTCACTTCTTACAGTACCACTATTGTAGTATTCGTACTTAAATTTTATTAGAGTCTGTTCAAAATAAGTGAAATTATGCACATATCAATATCGAGCATATGCATATATATATTTTGTGGCAGACCCATAAAAATTTAATAGGAAGGGATTTGGATAATATATTAAAAATTGAGCTTTGTCTTTCTACTGACTATCTTGTTGCTGTACAAATAGAATTAAATTAAAATGGATGAGAGAATGCTAAAGAAAGTAACATACCTGGGACAAGACGATAATGATAAGTAACGCAGGGAGACCAATTTCAACACAATCTGCCAACTACAAGAATCATTGTTTGTTAAACAACTAACAATCACATGAAACAGACTGCCACTATCCATAGGAAAAGAGCAAAGAGTGTACTTTGGGAAATCCTAACATAAAGAGTCCTAGTCCAGTCAAAGTGACAAGAGGGGCCACACTAAGCGGGCTGAGAAACCTGCAGCATCAACTAATATAGTGAACTTTACTATCCTCAAATATAGCTGACTTCTACAAATAGAAGATTGCAAAATAGTGATCAAGAGATTCACTGGTTTGTAATCAACCTGGCAAATATCCTCCAAAAGCCGAAAAAGCCAACGATGATTTGAAAAAACGATCCAACAATAAGTGCTCCTTGTATGGCTCTCATAGATTGTTTAAATCTCTGGAAAAAAAGTCGCGTGAGAAATCAATTGCAGTTAGTAACAGGCACAAACACTTCATAAATACTCAGTAGTTAATTTTCAAGAGAGAAACAGCATATCTACCATCTACTAATTACTTTCACAAAACGGTCTACACCTCAACAATATCAACAATACGAGCTAACCTGATGTGGATCAGCATATACACTCATTCTGGTGGAAAAAGCAATGGAAACTGCAGGAATTAGAAAAGAATAGGATGGTCCCACAACCACTGGAAGTCGTGTGCCAAACAACGTCTGCAGCAGTGTGTTAATGGCAGCAATAAAGAGTAGAGTCTGTATTGTTTCGGCCTTTTCTACCTATAGTTTTATTTTAAGGAAGAAATTAGACTCAAATCGAATGACATGACTAAAGAACAAGAAATTACAAATTTGCATTACATTGCCACCACCGATCAAAGGGACAAGGATGGTGGAAACAATGACAACGGTCCCAAGCACAACCAGATAATGCTGAAACCCAAGAATGACCCCTTCGGCTGCAACCAAATCAAAGACAAAAAAAGAACAGTCTCAGCAAAAAAAGTGTCAAAAGTTGAGTTTTGATACAAAAAAGGCCAAGAGTGGTATGTACGCCATGAGGGAGAACTGGTAACACAGTAATCAACACCCGGAAGTTGGTCCCTCACAGGATGAGGTAGGAATTCATCAGCCTTTCCTCCTCCTCCACCAGCTGCCATTGTTTCTCTCTATCTCTAATGTTTGTTTTATTTGATCAGTAACTTCATTTTTTTGGTGGTGTTTCTTATAATGCTCGGAAAACAGAACAGGTGTTGCTGTGTTTGTTAAGAAATGGTCCAGAATGAAAATGATGAGTGAGAGTTGGCAAAGGCGTTGTGACTCTAGCCTCTGCCTGAAATGCTTTTCCAAATTCACCTGGCGCACTTTTCAACCACTCTGACACACCGCTGTCATTTTCTTCACTGTACTTATGGGACAGAATTGTAACATCATAACACGAGCAGCGTAAGAATTATTAACAGTACCAGATTGCCACCAGATATAATAGTTTTATATATATACATACACATATCTTTAAATTTCAATTTTATGTTTATTACGTTTTCATGCAACTTTTTTCAAGATAATTTCAAATTAAATATAAGAATATGTTTATGTTTGTTGTTGTAGTCGGTATTGTTAGCTTAGCTTACTATTACTACTAACTTCTTTTTTTCAATTTGACTTTGCATTATTTATGCAATTGTATGTGTTTGTTTCGCTTTGTTTATGGAATGAGTAGCTAATTTGTACTACACTAGGGTTTCGGGGGTCAAATGTTGGAACACCAAACAAGGAATATCATGCCAATGGTTCACCAATGCAAATTAAAACAACACTGATTAAACAATTTCCATATTGATTTTTATTAATGGTGAGATGTTATGTGTAATAATATATTTATAAGTCTATAATGTATTTCGAAAAAGACGTAATAGTAGGTAGTAGGAAATACTTTTACTTGTGTATGTTAGAGCTGGTAACTCACCTTTACTTGGCCTGAACCATCATGGGTTAGTCGTTTAGTGAGTTAATCCAACACAATTCACTTATTAGCGAGTTGATAAAATTTAAATCCGGCTCGATTCACTATAGGTTGGTAGGTTAAATATCACTATAGGTTGGTAGGTTAAATAGGTTGTCTCGTGCTCACTTAATTATAAGTTCTTTTTAAAATAAAAAAATCTAATTTTTTTAAATTCAAATCTAAATAAATTTCAGTCTAAAATGATGTTAAACTTCATAAACAATTCAAAATAAAAAAATATATCATATAATCCAAACGAAATCCAAAAACAAACACAAAAAGAGTTGGTGAGCCAACACTTGTCAATTTATAATATTAATAGATATATTTATAATATTTTTTTCTCTTGTAACATTTTTTTTATCTCATTTTCAATATAATAAAAAATGTTAACTAATAATATTGAAACATAAAATAATAAATAATTAAATTAAATTAAGTGAGTTGGTGAGCCAATACAGCTTATCACATGTTCAACTCGTATAAGTCGGATTGAAAATTAATCCACGTAAAAGGAAATTAAACTCAACCCCTGTAATGGACTAAATTGACTCAGGTTAGAAACCATTTTCACAATAGGTTTTGACTTATTTCATTACCTAATTCAGATCTAACAGTGCATGCATTATATTTAGAAGATTTGTTTTTGTTCGAATGTATTATTTGCCAGCTTGAGACATACGAAACTCTATCATGAAATACTATTTCCGGCCCAAACATGATCCTCTTTGACGCGACTTTAATATGGAAAAGTATACTTTTGACAATTTGTTTTTAATATAACCACTTAATAAACCTTTTTAATAACAATAATAAAATATTTCAAATTTTTATATTTATTCGTATTTTTTATTATTATATTAATAAAGAGAGTAAATTAGTAATTTTTTTAGAAAATATATTAATAGTAAGTACTCATTTAAGATATGGTAAACATTCTTAAAAAATCAGATTAATTCTTAAAATTAAATTACATCGATAGCGATTGTTTAGAAAAAAGTGTCATCAATCTAATTAATTTTTTTAATCTGTTTGTTATTTCAATTTAATATAATGAATTGAAATTTTCTGATTTATAAAATGTATCTCATTTTTTTACTCATGTAATTAACTTAGCTGTTATAAAATTGGTAACAATTTCACTAAAGAAACTTCAACGCATACTCTTTGATGGTTGTCAAGACAGTCTCAACATATGACAATCTCCTTTTTTTGGGTGTTATAGAATATACAAAATGATTGTAAATATTTTTAATATTTTTCATAATTTTTGGTATTTTTTGTAAAAATTTATATTAGGCTAGTTATTCTTAGTTAGTTAACCTAATCATTTTACCTATTTTTTATGGTGTTACTTTTGGGTATGATTGACCTTTGAAATATAATTACAAAACAATTTCCTTCAAGAATATCTTATATGTGAGATTTTTGCAATAAGAGAAGTGGTACATATTCATAAATTCAATGCAAGGAACTTTCATAAAAGGTTGTAACGTGTAAAGTAGCACGGGTGCAACGAGGTAGCATAGTGATTTGAACCGGTGACACTACGTTGAAGATATTAAGGTTAGATAAAGTTGACTTTTTTTCTCTCTACTTCCTTTCCTTCTCTATGTACTTTTTAAATTACAAATATAACTTTTAATTTTTTAAGAATTTTTTTTACTTATCTTTTATTTCTTTTCACTTACTGTAGTCTTTTAATTCTTAACTGGTTTTAAAAAATTGGTTAAGAACTCAACAGAAATCTCTTAGATTTGAAATACATTTTTTTAACCAGATTTTTGAAATTCGGACTTTTAACTAACTTTCAAAAAGACAAATATTTTAAAGTACGAAAGACACTAATTTCAAAATATATTTAATAAATAAACGTACTTTTTATTTCTTTTAGAAAAAAAAACTTATTAAATTTAAAATAAAAAATATTAAAATAACAAACAATTTTAAAAAATCAAAAAAAAACAAAAAAAAAACAATTGACAAAATTTGACAAAATTTCAAATAAAACATAACAACCAAATACAGTTACAATATTTAAAAAAATAAACTAAAATTAAATTAAACAATTGACAAATAAAAAAATAAATATAATTTCAAACCAAAAAAATATATTTTTATAACAATTATTAAATATTATAAATTTATTAAAACAAACAAATCATAAAATTAACAATTAAAAGTAAATAATAGAAAACATAAAATTTAAAATAACAATAGAAAGAATAGTTAGTTACTTTAAATTGTTATTTTTAAACGATTTAAGATGATTTTTTTAGATTTTAAATTGTTTAAAAATAACAATTTAAAATATTTTTTTTTATTTTAAATTTCATGTTTTTTTATTTAAGTTTAATTGTTGGTTTTATGTTTTGTTTATTTTAATAAACTTGTAATATTTAATAATTGTTATTAAAAAAACTTTTTTGTTGTTTGAAATTATATTGATTTTTTTATTTGTTTATAATTATTTTATTTAATTTTAGTTTATTTTTAAATATTGCAATTGTTTGTTGTTATTTTTTATTTGAAATTTTGTTATTTTTTTTCTTTTTTCCTTTTTTATTTTGGTTTTTTAAAAATTATTATTTGTTATTTTATTTACTTTTAAAAATTTAATATGTTTTTCTCAATAAATAAAAATATTTCGAAATACGTTTCTTTCTTAATCAGCTTTTAAAATCCGGTTAAAAGCTCGTGTTAAGAAAAAAACAACTTTAATTGACTTTTGAAAACGGTTAAACTCTTAACCGCTTTGGAAAAACCGAATAGGGAATAAAAGAAGTGTAGAGAGTGATGAGAGAATATAAAAATAAAAAGGAAATAATAAAAGGTTGAAAGTTATATTTATAATTTTGGAGATGTAGGGAGATACAAGGAGAAACACATAATAAAGTTTCATATGAGGTTAAAAACGACTAGAGAAATTAATATGGTATAATATTATTTTTTATAAGATTATATATGTTTTTAGTTTATAAATTTTAATGATGAATTGATTTTTTTTTTTAACTTTGATAGGTTTTGATTCTCAAATTTAAAAAATAAATTATTAAAATATATTTAATATAACAATTTTAATTTTATTAAACTTGTTCAATAATGGTTCATATTGACATTTGAATTATAAGTTATTAAAACGTAAAAATAATTTAAATTTGAAACGCGTTTAACATGTAAAAAAAATTAATGTGATTGAATTAAGAAAATCATGTGTATTCATTTTTAAAGTTTAATAATTAGATTATATCAAAATTTAATACATAAACTAATTTTTATTTCACTTAAAAATTTAGAAATTAAAAATATATTTCATTTTTTATATATAAAAATTTATATAATATATTATGAAATAATTCTTGACATCGCATTGTACTAAGTGAATTCTTATACATTGATGTATAATGTGTTCCAAATATTAAAAAAAGTAACCACGTATATTTTCAAATAACTTATGTGTTAATTAATATAGTACAAATAGTATAAAGAGATTGTATCACATTATTAAATTCAAATAAGTTTTCTTCCCTCATTTCCTTTGAACTTTCATAATAGTCAAGAGAAAACTTAGATTGCCTAAGCTTTTTTTTGGAGTCATTTTTTATTTTATTTTTCTTTTATTATGACTTGCATAAAAGTAGGAGATGATTGTCATTATAATTAGTTTTTCTTCCTCATTTTTATCTTTTTTGATTCACATAGTATTTTAAAATATTTGTTAGAAATTTAAGATAAGTTTAAAGTTTCATATTTAATAAAAATGTTAAAATGAATCGTACATGTAGATGGATTAAAGGTAATGTTTTGTTTTTTTATATAGATTCCTTCATAACTTATTGAATGTGGTTTATGTCTCTCTTTTTAAAATCTAACATTCTTTTGATAATGTTATATATATAACTTACAAGGATTAATTTACTAAATATTGAGGTAAAAATGGATCTGTTCAAATTGACTCGTTTTTTTTAAATGAAATTGTATAGTATAAAATATTAACCGAGTGGTTACAAACAACCAACCGGATGTTCAGGTAATCTGTTTATATCTTATTCTGTTTATATTTTATTGGGCTTATATCAGCTCAGGATCCATGAGGTAAATTATAAATACAAAGCCAGGGCCAAAAGCCAGGTACGTTCCACTTACTCTACATGACTCTCAAATACTCAATAGTGATAACTATTCACTAAATATTCAACCAAGAGCCGAGGCTCTTCAAATCACACGCCTAACTTGGGCGTCGGAGTACCTTTTGCAGGTACATCCCCCTCGTCAAGAAGGAGACCGATCGGTTTGCGCCAACACCGATCGGCCAACAGGAGGAGTTTGGAAGCGAGCGAGCGGCCCAGACGCGTCAGCAGGTTAGTCTCTCGGTCCCCAAAAGTATCTACCGAAACAGAAATTTTTTTATAATTACGAGTTGATGAATTATGTAGATAGTAACTTATTTAATGATACTTTGTTATTTGAATTATTTTTTATAGTTAATTATATTTTTAATCTTTATATTATAACACAATCTTGAAATTCATCTACTTTGATTATAATTTTAGAAATAAATGAATGAAACATTCATCACCTAACTACATTGATTTTATTTTAAGTGACAGTTGCCATGTGATGAAATATGTATGTTTATGTGTGTTCTTCTCTCCCTTATCTTTTCATTTTTCTTATGTCCCCATTCATTCTGGTATTTCCTACGGGTTCATCTCTTCCTTCAAACAGTAATCGAAAAAAGAAGTGTTAACTTATTATATAAGTCAACAAATGAATAAATTAAATATTTAAATATTCAAACATTATCAAAATGTCAGAACCATTAAAATCTATTCAGAATTCGCTTTAGTGGATTGCACGTGTCAAGAGAGGGGCTCGACACTCAGCTGGCGGAAGGTAGGTGTTGGTAGATGAGCGGACGCTCGTTTTAACGTTGGAAGCAAAACTTTGGTTTTCAGAAAATCCACTCCACTCACTGCATGCACCCTTCTTTCCCAGATTCTGAAATTTTCATTTTTCTCCTCCTTCTCTCTAAAAGCTTTTCTTTCTCTCTACAAAACACTCACTTTCTCTTCTCCGATCACCACTCAGGCACTCCTGGAACACTCCCGACATAAAGAGCTTCCAATTGAACCGATCAATTTTTTGTTCTGAAACTAGTAAGTCATTTTCTCTTTAGAATGTTCGTTCTTCTTACACATGCAAACCCAGGTTCTTGGTTGCATGAATAGGTCACTTTGTTTTTAGTATTTCTGTTTGGTTTAGTTTGTAAGAGGTGATCGTCGAACTCTAAAGATTTTAGTAGTGAGGAGATAGATTTATGCATTGTTGAACGTTCACTCACATCAAAGGTAAAGGAAACTTATATAATTTAATTTGTATGTTGTTTGAATTGCATGTACGTTCGTTGAGTTGATGAATTAATATGAAGTATGATTGCTGATATGTTTTGACTATACAAAGTATGATTGTTGATATGTTTTGACTATATGAAGTATGATTATTTACTATGGTATGGGTGTTTGATTTTATGAAAATAGATGTTGAGAAATGAAATGAGATAAATGATTTCTAAGTATGAAATTTCCCTAAGATGATGTGTGTTCGTTACTGAATGGTCTTTGACCAAGCGCTCGTATTATTTAATGTTAGGTCTTTCACCAAACGCTCGTATCATTTAATGCTAGGTCTTTCATTAAGCGCTCGTACGATTTATAGCTAGGTCTTTCACCAAGCGTTCGTACTATTTAGTGTTGGGTCTTATACCAAGCGCTCATTCTCTTTTCTATAAACTACCTTGATGAAAATTGCGTTCGTCTAAATTCAATATTTTACTCTCTCTACTGTGTTCGGTCTTTGACTGACATTCGGTTTCCTGATGTTAAATTCAAAATAAGCTAAGTATTTATAAGCGTTCGGTTTCTTCATGTGATTATTCGATGTATTAGTCTTTGAACGTCTTGAAGTGTCTGTCTCCATTGGGTTTTGTCTATAGTCTTAGTACCTGGTCTTGGTTTTTCGGTGTTCGGTTTGAGCTCTCTGGAGTCAATTCATTTAATTGGCTCTCTTTGTAAATAACATTTGTTTTATTCTTCCTTGTAATATTTGATTGTACTTTGGTTCTTTCTCAGCTCGATAGTAAACTCTCTCGGTCTTAATCTTTTTTGTAACTGGAGACCTCTCGGTCTCGCTCCAAGGGTTCGGTCTCATTTTGAGTTCAGGGTGAGCGTTCGATATTTTTTTATCTTAAGTGATTTTAGTTAAAATTGAAGTTTGAAAATGGAAGATGATGGAATATGATGTATATGAAATGTATTTGAATTATGGACGAGCGTTCCGGGGAGGAATAACTCATGAATGTATAATGGAAAGTGGTAAAGTATGAATGTGGGCATGCTAAGCTGGCGGTTCATCCTGATATTCCGTGTTTACTCGTTCTCACGTAGAGAAGGGTAAGTCATGAGTGGGAATGGTAGGAGGTCCTAGTCCTTATGGTTAATTTGGACAGATAAGACTAACCTCGGGTGGTAGCTGTTGAGGGTATCCCAGTTACTACATCACCCAGGTGCACGAACGTCGTAGCTACACAAAATTCATACATCCGGACAGTCAGTCTAGTATTAGGCTTTGTATGAACGAGTGATGATTTATCTTGTTTGGTTTTGATTGTGTGAAATATATGTTTATACACAAATTAAATTATATAAGCTTACCCTATGTCTTTCTGTCTTGTCTTTTTTGTACGATTGGTTGTCCTTCTGTTGCAATGATCATCCATGTGTATGTGAGCAGAAGGAGACGAGCTGTTGGAGGAAGCGCTGGAAGAAGAGAATTTAGTTGAGGTAGAAGTTAAGACTGAACAGTAGAATCGTTTGGTCAGTTTATTAGCTTAGTTTTAAACGTTTGATCATCTTTTCTCTCTTCTTTTGGTAGGACCGTTGGTTATAGTCTGTTGTAAATCGTTCGGTCAGAAACTACTTGCGTTCGGTTTTAATTTTCTATTTCTTTCTGTAAGGCCGTTCGGCCACAAGCTTACTTCTCTATTATGTAAGACTGATGTATAGTTTTAAACTGTATTTTTGGGATGTTACATCAAACAATATTTTAATTTTTAAAAATATAAAATTTTAAACTATTGTCATTAGAAATAATAAATAATTATAATAAAAATATATAAAAAAGATAAAAAATAATAAAAAGATATTACTGTATATTATGAATCAACTCATTTTAAATATAGTTAAAACTCATTTAATTTTTAGATTAAATGAATTAGTTTAAATTATACTTATATTTAAAAGAATAATTTTTTTTGATGATGATCATGACAATAGTTACCCATCCATACAGCTGCCACAAATTACTTGGTATTCTCGTATAAATGTTTTTCCATCTGTTCAAGTTATTAAGATAATACTTTAAATGAGTCAAGTCAATTTTTCTAGAAGAATTCAAATTCTTTTATACTTCTTTTGAACAAATTTACATTTGAAATTTAAATTTCTTTTGTCAGCTTCCATTTGTTATTGGATAGGAAACTTATGATTATTAAAAAATGTATATTTATTTTGTTTTTAAGCAAACGCTGACGGAAGAAGACGAAAACTAAAACAGAGAGAAGGAACCCAGTTCTAAAAGAAAGGGGGACCTGTTGGGACTAGCGAAATACATTTTTAAATATAATATCCTATTTTATGTTTTATGCTCGTTATCAGTAAAAAAAAAGCTAAATATTACCGTATGATATTTCCTTTATTGTTATTATAGGTTTTATCATTCAAACTCATTATTATTATTATATAGCTTGTTTTAGAAAAAAAATAAAAAACTATTAAGATTAGTGATGAGTCATCAAAATATATTCTAGGAGTGGTAATTTTTTTTAAACACATATAAATTGAGAGAGGTAAATATATAGAATTGATTAAAATTTTAAAATTATTTTTATTTATATATTAATTTTTTTTGTGTAAAAAGAAATCGAAATATTCAAGTAAAAATGTTGATGACTAAATAATTCAACGAAAATATATCAATTGTTTTGTTAGATAGCAAATTAACTTTAACTTGAAAAGGAAAATAACAGAGACCTGTTAGAACAAAATATTATATGACATAAATATAAATTGTTGCGTCAGGTTGTTACTATTTATTGTGCTAATATGATCAGATAATGTTTTTATCCTATCATTATAATGCGCTTTTTGTTGTCATGAAAAGGTGTCTTCTTACAGCTAAACATAGATATACTCTTATATTAAAAAAAAATAACATACTCTTTTATCATATCTTCTAACTTTTTTTATAATATGTATAAATAAATTTAAGTTATAATAGTAATTAAAATATTAAAAATGACTTTTTTATTGCTATATTTTAAAATTATAATAATAATTTTATATAAGCAATATATTATTTATTTATTTGTCGATTTTATATATTTTATACAGTTATAAATTGTATATAATAAATATTGTTTATCCTATTAAATAACAATAAATTTTAACTGAAAATAAAATAAGAGAGGTTACGGCACGGAGAGTCGCTTACGCGCTTTTGACACGGAATATAGCCATTCCCAATAACAAAAAAATGGTAAAACAATACATTGAATAAGAAGAAGTTACAGAAGCCAACAATTTATAGTTCGACTAGGACGTGTGACCATGACATGTTCCTCACCAAACATATAATTCATTATTATATTATTTAAATTATTTAAAATTTCATAAATAATAATAAAAGTGAAAAGAAAGGAGAAAGAATGCATAGGAAATAGCTCTCCTCGGTTATAACCTCCTCGGTGGAAAACCCACCCACTATCCCAATTCCAATTTCAATAAATACCCTTTCCTCTGTTTCTTCCTTTTCACAAACACAAACTCTCATTCACCCCTGTATCTTTTCTCTTCTCCTTTCCCATGAGTTATTACAACCAGCAGCAACCACCTGTCGGTGTTCCTCCACCCCAAGGTCTTTCCCTCTTTATTTTCTTTTTTTTTTCTTTTATTTACTTTCATCCAACCATCTTTCAGTTTTTGCATGTTCTTTTATCTTGCTCGATTGCTTCTTTTTCTTTTTCATTTCACTGATTTCTGATTTTTTATTACTATAGGTTACCCGCCGCCAGGGGAATACGGGAAGGACGCCTACCCTCCTCCAGGGTACCCTCCACAGGGCTACCCTCCACAGGGGTATCCAGCGCAGGGCTATCCTCCTCCTTATGCGCCTCCTCAGTACGCTCAGCCTCCGCCGCCTCAACAACAGTCTTCAACTGGCCCTGGTTGTTTAGAAGGATGGTGAGTTTTTCTCTCCTAATTTTCTCTCTTTTTAGATAATAAATTATAAAATTAAAATAAAGTCAAGATGATCGGGGTGGATCAGAATTTTAGATCGGGCTTGACTCGATTGACTACTGTTGCGTGCGCATCGCATCTATGGTGCGCCTGCCACCCTCTTGTTTGGTTATCATTATCGGCAGATGCTTTGTCTCTGTTAATCTCACTTTCTCTCACCCGCACGTCACTCGAAGCGGATGTCAGTTTTTTTGGATGTAATTTTTTTTGGTGGGTCCGCCAGCTGTGGCTTTTCTAAATAATCTATATAGTTATTTGTTTTAACACGATTTAGTACAATTAGTACTTATATCTAATTAAATTAAACTATTTTTTAGTTGGTTAGCTATAGAAATGCTTGATTAAGCATTGAAAATTCTCTTGATAGCGTGTCAAATCAAATTGCTTTTGAAGTGGGGATTAATTAATTTATGATAAACAAAGACTTTGAAATGTCAACTGATTTGAGAGAGTGAAATACCAAATTATCAGTCCTCTTGTATAAATTAAAGATTTGACTTAATTTGTTTTGTTAATTGTTGCAGCTTGGCTGCTCTCTGCTGCTGTTGCCTGTTGGATGCATGTTTCTGAGGAAAGCTTGGGTTGCTGCACAAATTGGATTTGAAAGTGTAACATGGCTTTGAACATGAGGAATATTGCTTTTAGCTTTTTATTTTCCCTTGTTGGTTTACATTCGGTGGAAATGAACTATTGTTTTCAAACTTCTGCATCATTTACAGCATTTTGTTGGTTTCTGTGTTTCCTGTGTTACATTTGATGCTTTTGTTAATATTGACAATTGATATAAATCTGTCCAATTTCGTCTGTGTTAGCATAACAACAGTTTTCTCCACTTGTACCACGTGAATTGAATTTGTATTTTGCTGAGTTTGTGATTTTGAATTTTGAAAACATTGATAAGACAATAAGAGACACAAAACCACGTGTTTAAGTTGCATAAGGAAACAAATTTGCAGCAGAAAATGGTTTGGCTTAAGTTTCAATGTGATGATTTCGCGAATTGCACTTTAGTTTTGGCTTTTGAAGGGCCAATAATGTGTTTTGCCATACTATTACTTCTATTAACTTGGACTAGTGGATTCTCCAAATACCTTGAACAGTGTATTCCACCCACATATCTTTTCTCATACTACAGTTTCAATTATGCACATCTGCGGTACCACCGAACATCGCTGTTTAAATTTCTTCCAAAGGTTTCTGTTAAAGTTGAGTGTGGCTTATTCTATAATTGTCATTTACGCATTTCTTATTACAGTGTTTCTGGAACACAATCACACTTTTAAATTTTAGTAAGTACACATTTTTTGTGCGCTATTCTTGATTTATTTTACACAATAATATTTATACATGATATGAACAAATATTCTTCGGGCTGTAGACAAAATGAAAGATAATGTTCAAATTATTGATGCCATTAACATTTTTAACCATTGATTCAAATGTTAATGGTAACTATCAATTATGCTTTAATTATTAATTAATATATTATTTAATGTTGTGAGGATAGTATCTGTCAATATAATATTTTGCTTTTAGTCTCATCTTTTAGTTGAGATATTTTTTTTAATAATTTAATAATATATATGTAATAAATTTATGCCTTCCAAGTTATCTGCAATTTAAGATTTTTATACATTGATTAAGGGAAACAATATATACATATATTTAATACCATTTTACTAAAATCGCCTTATACTTTCAAGAATTACATCAGATGAAGAGTGAGCTGATTGTACTGGGCCAATACTCAACATATTAATTTATTTAAGTACCAAAAAGAAAAGTATTTGTAGTACAGTACATACAATGAGAATATCAGATAACCTATTTTGAGACAAGTTGTAAATACTAAAACTGAATGGAATGGTGAAAAGTAATTGTAGTACAGTACACTCTAAAATGAGAATATCCGATGACCTATTTTTATCCAAGTTGTAAATACTAAAACCAGTTGGAATGGTGTTTGTATTTTAGTCTTAATTATTTTTGTTAAGTAATAAAGATATTTATACTGTTCAATTTCGTTTCTTTTATAAATTTTTTTAGTTTAATCGATAATGTGATTTTTATGTCACCTTGCTTCTTTGTGAACACATGTTATTTTACAATTTTATAACCATTATTTATATAACAGATTTCATCATCAATCTTAACTACCTAAATTTCTTATTTTTTATTTCAACCTATTATCAATAAATCTTCAATTTTGTCCTTGATCTTTTTATTGAAAAAAAATATTCTCGAACACTTCTCTATCTCCCTATGCTTGTCAACGCCTTCTCTGATATTCAAGCAAATTTGTTATCTAAGTTTTAACTCCAGCTTCTCAATCTCTCCACAACAACAGACCTAGCTAATTCCGTGATAATAATGTAGAATCTGCAGTATCTATGGTTTTTTTTTAAAAAAAAAACTAAACTTATGGGACGCGGATAGACGCTTATTAAAAAAAGAAATATGTTTAAACTTTCCAAATAAATAGTAATTCAATTACACTGTTAATATAAAATAATATTAAAAAATTGATAAGATAATTATTTTAATTAAAAAAATTTACTTATTTAGGATATAATTGATAAATGAAATGTGTATATAAAAAAGTGAATCTCCTTTATATAATAGTATAAATATTCTTTGACAAAATTTAATAGTTTTAGAAGACAATTTAAACATGAATCCAATCCAGGATTAATACCATTTTAATATCCAATCCAATATTAACATGTCTTTAATCTAAATCGTTAATGTAATTAATTTGTAGGTATTACTTTTATCAAAATATCTTTAAATATTTTAATTCATAAATAAAATGCAATGAATTAGTAGCGGTTAAATTAAACTTCACCATAATTTTCCTAATGTTTCTTTATAGACCTTAATTATTTAAGGATAGTTTTAGAAATTATTTTAATTACAAGAAAATTTAGTTCTCTAACTAAAGTAAGCTTTTTTTAATTGACGAAATTAGTTATATAACTTATACTCAGGAACGAAGTAATACATTCTGTAACTGATCGAAGCTAATTATGACACTCATAACTAATTATATTTTTTTTAATCCTTTTTATATTTTGAAATAATTCGGGATCAGTCTCCCAAATTATTATTTTTTTAAAATTTCCTAAAGTAAAAGAAATATTTTTTTCCTAAATTTGGATTAATAAAAACAATATTAAACCCTAAAATTTTAATCTTAAATTGTAAACTTGAAATCACGAAAAACTCTATTTTTTTAATCAAATTTAGTAAATCATAGGCGTTAATTTTAAGGGGTAAAACAAAAAATTATGATCAAATCACACTCATTCTAAATTTTAGAGAAAAATAAACGTAATTAAGCCTGTATTTAGAAACATCGAAACTATATATATATATATATATATATATATATATATATATTGATTTAATTCATATTATTGTGTTAATGTTTAAATAATTGTTAAATGAGTGATTAAACACTTTCTAATATTTTAGTTACACAAAATTACACGTATATTCAAATAATAACGAAAGTTTGATACACATGAATAATTTTCATTTATTTAAAACTATATTTTATTATTTTTTATATTTTTATTTTTTGTAAAAATATAAAAAATTATTTCTTTGTAATCATTTTATTCTTATATTATATTGAATGTAAGAGTGGGTCATCTTTTCTTTTCATTTGTCAATTAGAAAATTTATTTGTTAACTTGAAAAAGTGGACGTGGAAGTAAAATTGTGAAAAGTATTCTGAACGATGGATGCCATATATACCAACTTTCTGTCTCATGAATACAGATATTCTTTACAAGCATTACGGATCAAAACAACTGCTAGCATTCTATGTCAGTTCACATCAAGCAACGACTTCCGTGGTAGCAACTTGGTCATTCTCAAGCTGACTGTAATTACCCTTCTCTTTGAATAGTTGAATGTGATGGTGTTTGCAGTACAGCTTTCCCTCGTGTGTGATGAAGTTTGATGAGCTTATAGTGCAACCTCCATAGGTACATTTGAAGCAGCTTTTATGGTAGGGTGTCCCATTAACGGTTACCTAACACATATAAACAATCATACATTTATATACATATATCAGTATCAGTAATAAATGAACCGAATTGAAGAAGTTCTATAATATTTTTCTGGAATTACCCTCTCGGTGGGATACACTGTCTTTTTGCAGCACACACATTTGTCTCTGGTACCCAAGAACACGTTTGCGATGCCCTTGGAGTTCTGCCAAAATTATCCCGTTACATTTAGATTAGTACTGAAATCAATGAAAATGGCAATTGCAACTTTGCATGGCAAATGAAACAAACCCCTTCAAGCTTTATACAGATTCAACTATTGTATATAATGAATAATAATAATAATAATAAAGAAAACTAGAATTCTAAATGGAGTTTACTGAATATATGGCAAGAAAAGCTACAGGGAAATCACCTCATTTTCAGTGATCGGTTTCTCTGGTTTCTGAACTTTGGGTGTTCCTGTGATATGAGAACAAGATGCAACAAAAGCAGTGAAAATTTGATTCTGAGTAATGAAGTTATATATTTTGAAAGAAAGTGAGAAAGGAATAAAAGATGCCCTGGGTTATTCTAAATAATTTCATATGTTTTTTGAAGTAAGTTTAACCTTCGAAGCTTTTGTCCAAGCTGCCAGTTCGCTTGTAAAGTTGATCATAATGAGGTCTGCAATATAGCACCCCCTCAAAAGAACAGTAGTTGCTCAGCTGCAAACAAAATTACACAACTCTTGTAAAAAATGTATGATTTGATAAGATTTCAGACTAGAGTTTATTAATTAATATCTTGATATATACCTTAAGGGTATTGCGGCAATGGTGGCATCTGAAGCAGGCCTTGTGATAGACACGGCCATCAGCAGTTAGCTTATCGACAAGGTAGACGGTTTTGTCACAAGCCATGCACTTTTGTGTGGTTCCTCCAAAGCTGGCCATGGCTTCTTCTGTCTATCACCAAAGGCCGATGAGAAAGAAAGAACAAGAGAGAAAGAGAGGAAGAGTTGCACTCTTCTGCAAGAATTTCCTTTGCCCTTTCTCTCTCTTCTTGCGTCCTATGAAAAATGGAGATGATAGCAAGAGATATAAAAGAGAGAAATTGTGGACGGCAGTGAATTACGGACCTTAAAAAGAACGAATATGATGGTGTAATTATGGGTAATTGAATTGTGGATCAGATGAACAGAGATTTGTATAGAATGTACTAGTGTTGACTTGGCTGACTAACCACACAATTACAGTAATTTCATTAATTATCTCATACATTAAGAGTTTTTTTAGGGTTTATTGCAAACCCACGGTTTTCTTGAATAAGTCTATTATAGTATTTATGGAAACTCTAAATTTAGTTGAGGATGAATGCATAAGTATACATCATTTTAAATAACACCTAAAAAATATAATATATTTACTTTTTTATTTAATCCTTTCTAAACTATTTTATTTGTAAAATTTAAAATATAATTTTATTAGTGTTAAATTATAAAATGTAGATTTATCATTATTCTTTTAAATAAATGGTATCCATAAGTTTATTCTTTTATAAGAGAAGATAACAATAGGATTAATTGCCAAGAAATATGAGAACGTTAGTTCACCATAATGATCAGGGCCTTGAGATTAACATGCTCGATGAAAAATCAAAGTGAAGCCTTGTAACGTCCCCTGTTTTATTTATATGTATATTTACAAATTTATTACACAAACTATTAATTTTAATATATAAATTGTATATACAATTTTAAAAAATATATTAAAACACTAGAAAATATTTAAACAAAACAATTCGAATAGGAAACGTTAAATTAAACTTATTTAAATAATTTAAAATGAGATGTTACAGATCTCAGTCTATGCCTACTTGGTGCATGCATATTATTTCATAAAAGTGTTTTTGTGTTGTGATATATATAGTTTGATTTACCTATATATAGCATTTGACTCACAAAGGAGATCAGCAATATGATATTATTAAGTTTCTGATTTGAATGTTATTTTGCTTGAGTCCTGATAAGAAAATTCACCTAAGAAGATCCTCCTGGATATAATATTGTTAAAAAAAATAAATACTGTCATTTATTTGTTTATAATTTCAGATAAAAAATTGATGATGATTAAAATATTAATTATTAAAATCTGAAAAATAGCTCAGAGTACCGCAGGTCATTTGGTCTAGTGATATGAATTTTGGTTGGGGTACGAGAGCTCCCGAGTTCGATTCTAGGAATTTCTGAAATGTTTTAGTTAAACTTTGTTTTTGTGGACTTGCTACGGAAAAATGCAATAATATAATGTGTGGGTATAAATTTTATTTTCTAAAAGTATTAGAAAGCCTTACTTAAACTGATCTACCAGCCTGGGCATTTGGTCTAGTGGTATGATTCTCGCTTCGGGTGCGAGAGGTCCCGAGTTCGATTCTCGGAATGCCCCCGAATCTTGATTATTTTATTCCAAATCTCTCCTCAAAGAAATTTTAAATGAAGCCCAGAAAGCCAAATCAACCTAAATTAATGGGTCTAGATTTTATCTCCTTTTTTGTTTTGGTATTTAAAAAGTTACATATTTTAGAATATTTATTTGAATATTTTTTTTCCCGTAACTGTATTATTATTATTAATATTAAAATATGTTAAGTTTAATAACTCTTTTTTTCATAAGCCCATTCGGAAACAAATTGTATAAACCAAACCCTTTGCCTTTTAATTATTGGACCCACTAGCTGAAGTATTGAAGTAACTCTGAAAGACAAATTTGCGTCTAAACATTGCGTTCCATTGTAACGATTTGAGAACGGAAAAAAAATCCTATTTTTGTAAGAGGTAATTTGGAGGGTTAAAAGTGTGGATTTACCATTATATCTCGATGAAAAAGATGAATTCGTTCTAGAAATGCAGGATGAAATCGATTTTGATGGTGTTGGAGAACTGATTCTTGGTGTCAGGTTCAACTTGGAGTCAGTTCTGGAACTATTTGTTGCATGGAATCGGTTCTACAACCATGATCGGTTCCCTGTTTCCTTTTAATGTGTTTAAGACTTTATGTGGTGAAGGAGTTGTGTTGTCCATTTGTTATTAGGAATCATGATTGAATGCATCCATAATTAAAAGAAAAACGTGATTGCCAAATGACTTGGCTACTATATTGGCCACTTGTTCATTGTCAATGATATCAACTAATAATAAATTGAAAAATATATTCTTAAAGATATATTACATCCCAATTATTATTAAGGAAGAGTAAATACATGCTAATAAAATAATAATCAAAATTATATTTAATATCTAAAATTCTCATTTTTTTAGCAAATACATTGTATTAATTATTTACTGGAATTCTTAATATTTGCTTTAACAAATATTCATAATCATCATTCTTAAAAAATACTTTAAATTAATTTAAAAAATTATTTTATGTTATGATAATTTTATTTTTATTTATCACATTGGTCAAATAATTTATAAATTTCAATTTCAATTTTTAATTTCAAATCTCTTAAAAAAAACATTAATTTTATCTTTAAATTCATTTATCCACTGTTTTTTAAATTCATATTTGAATAAAAACACATCCTAAAAGTTTATTTTCTTCTTATTTACTCTAGAAAAATAATCTAACATTTTTTCACTTAAATGGATTTGGGGGAGAATGATTGAATGAATTTCAGAGGATTTGAAAGAAATTTTTTTATCGTTTATTTGAGTTGATTTGGAGGCAAGTGAAAGTGTATTTTGAAATAATTTTTTTTAATTTATTACATCAATTAAATCCTATACTAATTCTCACACACTTTATTTTCAAATCTACTCTCACTTACTTCCAAATTCACTCAAATAAACAACAAAAAATTTACCTTCAAATCCTCTCAAATCTATTCAATCACTCTTCCTAGATTTATTTAAGTAAATAAATCCTAAGGCCTTTTACTCTTATTCTCTTCTTAACAGGGAAACCGAAAATAAGCCATTCAAATGGAAGGGATCATTAATAGCAAAATGTAATACAAAAATGTTTTCTAACTCAATAAATGAACCAGAGAGAATGTGACACATGTAAAGATTTTATAGCTAAATGCGTAGGAATTTCATCGTGGG